GCTCGGCTGGGGGGCGCAGGGGCTGCTGGCCTGCCGGGGGGGCTCGGTGCCGGGCAGGAGGGAGCGCAGGATCTTGTATTTTTTGAACATGAAGGTGGCTGAGCTCTGGAAGTTGCTCTTGTCCCCAGAGGCCACCTCGAGCAGCAAGGGCAGCGCCTGGGGCTTGGCCCCCTCTTCCACCCCCACCTCCCCCCCAGGACCCTCTTCCTCCTCCTCCACTTCCTCCTCCTTGTCTGGCGTCCCCTCCGCATGGCTGACGGGTCCCTGGGTCTCCCCGGCTTTCTTTCTCTTTAAGCTGAGGTCCAACACCATGTCCTCGGGGGCTGGCTGCCCACTCCCCACCCCATCAGGGCTGCCTTCCCGAGACCCCGGGTCTCGGAGGACAAGCTTTGGCTCTTCGGGGACCCTTCTGTAACAGCTTTCCCCTGGGCTCTGGACCGCACCGCTGCCCGTCTTCAGCCCCCAGCCGGCCACCGACCCCGCGGGCAGAAGGCTGGACATCACCAAGACGTCTCCAAGGGCAGAGGGCTCCCGGCTGCCCCCCATGTTTTGGGGTGGGGTGTCCCCCCGCAGATGCTCCCTGCAGAAGGGGACCGGGGCTGAGCCCTCGGTCCCCTCCAGGTAGTCTCGGTAAGGTGCCAGGCTGAAGACGTTGTTGATCACTGGCATGGGTGGGGAGGAAGAAGAAACCTCGCCATCCCTCGGGTCTTTCAGTCCCTGCGGAGGGGAGGCAGGCGGAGAAAGGGGGACAAGCTCTTTGGCTGCATCCTTGACTTTGCAGGCATCTCCCTTCCCTACGATGATGGGAGCCGGCGGTCCCCCACGGGGGGTCTCCTGGGGGGCTGGGCTGGCCCTCCTCCTCCCCGGGTAAGGGGCCTCCTGCTCCCCCTGGCTGGGTTTCACCCAGCCTCCTTCTCCTTTGAAAAACATCTCTGCGAGCCCCCCAGAGCCCCCGGGCACCTTCTCTGGGGCGCAGATGGGTTGGAAAGCACCGTCATGCCTCGCTGCCGCTCGCTGCTGGGGACTTTCCACCTGGCGCCACTCACAGCCCGGCTCCGTGCCGGCAAAGGAGGTACCAAATACGGCCACATCGCCGGGGCTGAAGGCAAAGCCAGGGCCCGGCATGTACCCAGCTCGCCGCGGCGGCTCAGCATCCCTCGGCAGCACCGCCGACTTGGCGGGCGGCGATGCCCCCGCGCTGGTGCCGGCCGCCCTCGGCACGTAGGTGTCCAAGGGGCTGGGAAAGTAGCTCCTTGGGGCTTGAGGCTTAAGGTAAGAGCTGGGAAAGGGCTCCCCGCTTCCCGCAAAGCCGAAACCTTTGTAGGCTCCAGGCAGGGCGCCGGGCTGTGCCTCCATGGTGGGAACCGGGGGGTGGTAGAGGAGGGCAGCTTTATGGAGGGGCAGCGGGTAGCACACCGGCGGTCTCTCCCGGTACACTGGGCTGGCGGTGGGTGGCTGGAGCTTGGCCCAGGGGTCCGGGCTGAGGCTGGAGGGCTCGGGCACCTTCCTCTGGCTGTGGGTGGTGGGGCAGCTGGCTTCCAGGAACGGGTTGCTGGGGGGGCCCCTGTATTTCTCAAAGGTGGCATAGTAGGGGGAGAAGGCGATGGGGGAGCCCACCTTCTCCTTGGCGGGCAGCGTCAGGCTGGGGTGCAGTGGCGGGAGGCCGGGGTTGGAGCGGGGACCCCTCTTGTGCAGCCCGGTGCTGCCGCGGGGCTCTCCAGGGTGGAGAGGGTGGCTGGCGGGGGCGGCAGCGGGCAGAGCCCAGTCCGCATCCCCCAGTCTCTGCCGCAGGCTCTCCGCCCGGGGTCCCAGCGGCAGAGCCATCCTGGGGTCCATAAAGCACGCAGGGGCTCTGTACACCGGCTTGGGGACAGCCAGGGGAGTCGCCTTGTTCACCGCCACCGGCTTCTTCACCGGGAAGGGGTGTCCCGGAGCTGGCGGTGGGCTGGACCACTTCTCCCTCACCATCAGCGGCTCCTGCGTCAGACTGTCCTTGGCCTTTTCGGCACCCGGGAGCTGCAGCCCAGTCCCCAGGCCCTCGGGTCGGTACAGCAGGCAGCTCACCAGCGGCCCCTCCGCCGGCATGGGCTGGCTGCCGGCGCCGGTGCCGGTGCCGTAGTGCAGGTAGGCAGTGGCTGGGCTCCAGCGTGCCAGGGGCTGCTCAGGGCCGTCGGGGCTTTGCAGCGGGCAGGCGAAGTAGGAGCCCTTGTAGTTGAAATGGTTTTCGGAGCTGGGGTTGGGCACGGGGCTGGATTTGCAAAGGCCAGTGGGGAAGCCGGCGGCAGGCTCCACTTCCAGCCGAGGTAGCTTGTTGAAAATCGTGGGGTCCAGAGACTCCAAGTGCCGTTTCGAGGCCATTTATACGTTGCTGCCGGTGTCCCAACCAGGGCATGCGATGGGAGAGGTGAGCTGGCCTTTCTGAATGGGGGGGAGAGAGAGAAAATAAATCGTGAGCAAAGTAAGTCCCCGTGGCAAGCACTCAGTCTGCGGTGGAATGGCACAGCGTGACAGGGGCCACCGAGAGCTCCCCGAAAGTCACCTTGCCCACGCACTGGCTGGAGAAAACATGTTGGTTCTCACGTGCAGCTTTTCCTTATTCGTGCTCAACATCACGCTGGAAGGCTAAAGTAGAGGGGATCTGTGGGAAGCCCTGCTCGTCTCACAGTCCGCCTCTGCCAAGGGCAACAGGGACTCACTTCCCTTCTCGCAGCCTCCCGGCACCTGGCAGAGATCCTAAAAAAAGCCAGCCCACCCCAATTGAGAAGCAACATTTGATCCTCAGCATGGAAGCTAGGGATCCGGTCAGGCGCTCCCCTCCCTCGGTGCTGGCTGGGGCAGCCCTGCACTAAGCCAGGATGGGAGCCTGAAGCCGGCGGGGGAGGATCCTGGTAGGCTGGCTGAGCATTCCTCCGTCCGTCTCCTTGGAAAAGCCCTGAAAAGCTCTCACCGCTTTGCTTTCAAAGCCCCAGCGAGCATCTGTTGCAGGCAGCGGGGAGCAAAGCCGGGTCGCCTCAGGTGAAGGTGAAATTCCAAGCTAATTTGAGACTTTTCCCCCCCAAGGCAGCAGCCTGCAGCTCAGGGGGACCTTCTTCCTTATGGTCTCGTCTGATTTTGGGCTGGTGCTGAGGTGGGACCTGGGTGCTGGCCTGCAGTGTCAGGCGGTGCATGCCAGCAGGTGGAGCTGGCAGACCGTCCCAGCATCGCTCGGCCTTCTTGGGCATCACCCCACATCCCCTGAGCAGTGCAAGTATCCCCCCAGTATCTCCTGGCATCACCCAGCATCCCCCCAGTACTCCCCAGCATCTCCTGAGCATCCCACTAAGACACTTGCGCGTTGCTTGGGCCCCAAGAGCATCGCTGGACCTTCACCCAGTATTCCCCCAGCATCACCTGAGCATTGTGTACGTCACCCAAGCGAGCCCCAAGACCCGCCTGAGCATTGCTGGACCACAGTTCAGCATCCTCCCAGAATGGCCAAACATCACCCAGCATCTCCCAAGTATGACCAAACGTCACCCAGCATCTCCCAAGCATGGCCAAATGTCACCCAGCATCTCCCAAGCATGACCAAATGTCACCCAGCATCTCCCAAGCATGACCAAACATCACCCAGCATCTTCCTAGCATGCCCAAACGTCACCCAGCATCCTCCCAGCATGGCCAAATGTCACCCAGCATCCTCTCAGCATGGCCAAATGTCACCCAGCATCCTCCCAGCATGGCCAAACGTCACCCAGCATCCTCCCAGCATGGCCAAATGTCACCCAGCATCTCCCAAGCATGACCAAACATCACCCAGCATCTTCCTAGCATGCCCAAACGTCACCCAGCATCCTCTCAGCATGGCCAAACATCACCCAGCATCTCCCAAGTATGACCAAACGTCACCCAGCATCCTCCCAGCATGGCCAAACGTCACCCAGCATCCTCCCAGCATGGCCAAATGTCACCCAGCATCCTCCCAGCATGGCCAAACGTCACCCAGCATCCTCCCAGCATGGCCAAACATCACCCAGCATCCTCCCAGCATGGCCATACATCACCCAGCATCCCCCAAGCCCATGGATGGACTTCCTGCAGTAGGATCTCGTGTCTGTTCTTCACTCCCCCGTGTTTTTTTTTTCTTTTTGTGGCAAAAATTAGCAGAGAAGCAAGGAAGGAAATGGAGGAAGAGAGCGTGGAGATAAGATAAAAGCCTTGCCCGCAGAAGGGGAAAGGGAGCAGATAACTGGGGAGACTTGCAAGGGTAGATAAGGGACCCGAGCACAGTGGCTTTGCTCTGCAGCGCGGCCGGAGTCCAGAGCCGAGCCGCACGCAGCCCGCTCTGGCAAGCCGCACGCTACACCCTGCCAGCTCTCCCTGCCGTGCAGGCAGAGCCCTGCCAGACCCCTTACGGGCAGAAACAGGGCTCACAGGTCCACCGGCCACCCAGCCGTGGGCGCAGGTGCCCCTGCCCAGCTGCAGCTCTGTCCAAAACAGCAGTTCTGGCATGGCTGAGCGGGCTGCACCCCTCTGCCGTTCCTTCGCGTTGGGTTTCTTTCCCAACCTTCACCAATTTCTCACTTTGCAGGGAGGATGCTTCTTCCCCGGACTCCTCTGAAAACCTCTTTGGAGGATCGACGCTTCCCTGCAGTCGAGAAAGAAGCTCGTCTCCCCGCTTGCACGCTCAGAAGCAGCTCCCCAGAGAAAGGGGCCATGGGGCGACTGCATCATTTCCAACAGCTTGATCCTCAGGAGCCTCCGGGTAATTTCCGAGACGTCCAGTACCAATCAAATTTGCCATCCCTTAGATCCAGCGAAAATGCTCCCTTCAAATTGAAAAAGACTGGAGAAAACCCTAAACCCCTGCTTTCCACACGAGACCTTGGCCCAAGGCAGGAGGTCGACCCGCACGGTGCCTCCTCGCCCCGGCGCGTTGCTGCAGGCTCCTCCATCACCACATACTGGCTGAGATATTTTAGGGGCCCGTCCCCAGGATAAGTCGGCTGCACATTGCCACATGCCCCCCCCCCCAAAAACAAGCCGCGGGCTTTCCTCACACCCCGATTGGGAGGATGTGAAGCAGGAGGGCAGGCTGGGGATCCAAACTGGGTTATTTTCCTTTCCAGCCGACCGCTGTCCCCACGCACAGGCAGCCTGAGAGGGTTTTTTTGGGAGGGTGGTGTTTAAATCCATCTCCCCGAGAGATACTGCGTGGGAGGGAGAAGCAGGCATGGGATCCCTTCCACACGGTGACGATGCTTGGGGTGGACAAGCTGGGACAGAAACCCGGGATCTTGTGACTTCCGACATTTCCCCACTGCTTTTTCCCCCCTTCCCTGAAACGCGCTGATCTACAAAACCCGCGGCGCCGGGGACGTTGTGCAACTGGCCCTGCCGTCACCGCAGGACCAGGTTACGCCGCTGGGCACATCGGCAGCGCCGACGCAATCGCCCCATTTCCAAACCGCCTGCAATCATGGCAGCGGAGACCCCTCTTTAGGAGGGGAGGAAGGAAAAGGCCTCGTAACGCCATTAAAAGGAGACCTTTCCCCTCGGGAAGGCCCCAACCCCTTCCCACCAATTCTGTGGGAAAGCAGGCAGCCAGCTCCGACTTCCAGCCTTGCTGGAGGGATGCAGAACAGAGCAAGACATCCCACTGCGGTGGCTGGAGCCAAGCACTTGGATTCTCTGATGTCTGATAGGGGTTGAGCTCATTAACCTCATTAGGGTGAGGGCGCTAATGGGCTCCCTCTTTCTATGAAATACACTGGGGCTTTGCCCCGGCTGCCGCCGTCCCGACACCTGCGCCATTTCAGACCCAAGAAAACAGCTCTGCTTTCGCTGTCACCATCAGCCCTTCCCCTCCGGGACTATCCCCTTGCAGCCGGCGCGGCGATGTCCTCCTTCCTCTCCCCCAGCCATGGGAGAGCTGCCGGGGCCGGGGGCCGCAGGGAGGAGAGGGGCACGTGGGAATCAGGGCTGGGGGGGACGCCTGGGCGAACGCTAACACGTGTGGCCAGTGCTTGCTATACCAAAACCTCACAGCTGGGGAAAGCAGTAGGTGGATTCAACACAAGTGATTTATTCCTCTTTTCTTTTTTTTTTTTTTTAAATTTTTTTTTCCCCTCCTTCTTCTTTGCAGGGGTTTTTCCCAGAAGGGGCTGCTTGGCCAGGATGGAGAAGAGTAAAACCAAATAAAAAGGAGCATGTGCTGCCCCGCCGCGTGCAGGCAAAACCTCCCCACTAAGCGCTCATGGGCCACAGCCAGCTTTATCTGCCACGTTTCGGATGTCGAAAGGGCACGGGAGGGCTCCCGTGCCCCCTCCGCTGGGGTTCCTTGGCCTACCGAGGCTGCTGGGGATGGCTCAGACGTCTCTTTTTTTTGCTCCGACGGCTCTGAACAAGCGTGGCTGGGTCTGTTATCGCCGGGGCAGTCAGGCACAGCACACGGCATTTCCTCCCCAGGATGCGATGCCCGAACGCGGCAGTAATAAGCGGGAGCTTCTCATCACAGCCTCCCGCCTCCTCCATCGCCACGTGACACGAAGAAACAGCCGCCAACTCCCAGGCAGCCCGCAGGAATCAAGAAATAAAACCCCAAATCTCCCAGGCCCACTGGCGTTGGGCATCCCCAGCCAGCCCGCAGTCCCCCCCCAACACCCCGAGACACCCCACCGGGGTCCTGTGGTGGAGGGCCGCTAACGGAGGGGGCTTTCCCTGTGTCACCCCAAAGCGAGTGGACTGCTCCCCCGGTAAAAAGGTGGTTTCCCGTCCGGCTGCAACATGGGGTTTCACAATTGCGGGAACTTTGGGTCCCTGCCGAGGAGGTCACCTTTCCCATCTCGCTGGTGGGTTTGGATGCGATCGCTGGCGAGGCTCCCCCCGTTGAGGTCATTAGGGGGGGCAAACAAGAGGCCTCAGTGGTCCCAGCTCCCTCATTTCATACCTTATCCCTCTTCAAAAAAGTTTGCAGCTCCGGAGCTTTTCCCAGGTAGGCAAAAGCCCGGCCGGAGCCTTCCCCAGCCAGCTGCTTTTTAAGGAGAGTATCCTCACCCAGCACGGGCAGCAAGCCGTTGCTTGTATTGCAGATTAGGTTGTAGTTCCTGAAAAAGCCCCAGCAATAGTCACTTTTCTAAAAAAAACTTAACTAAGCCCGTAGCAGCCACCAGATGGGCAGAGCGACGGCCTCCGGACCGACATCTGAATATTTAGGGGATTAAACCCCCTCTTATACGCAGGTCCAAACACATCGATCCAACTCCGACCCGTCAGCATCACGTCCCAGCTTGGCCAGGGTCAGGCACGGACCTGGCGAGGGCTGGACGGCCGCTGTCCGTCCTTCTGTCCCCTCCACTCCGCCACGACCACGACATTTG